GGACGGGTTTTCTTTTTTTTTTGTGAATGGAGGCGGTGACGTCGCCGCGCCCGCGCGCCGCCTCCCCTCCATTCATGCGGCCGCGGCGCGCCGCGAATGGGCGGGGCGGGGCGGGGCGGGGGCGCGCGCCGGCCGCCGCCGGGTAGTAAAGGCTGCGCGCGGCGCGCGCGGGGGTGCGCGAGCGGCGCGGGCGGCGGGCGCGGGGCGCGGCGGGCGCTCGCTCCCCCCGCCATGGTGGCCACCGAGGGGCTGCGCGAGATGGAGGGCAGCGCGCTGCGCCGCCTCGTCGGCCGCGACGAGGCCGGGGCCGGCGGCGCCGCGCGGTGCCTGGTGCTGGACTGCCGCCCCTTCCTGGCGCACAGCGCCGGGCACATCCGCGGGGCGCTCAACGTGCGCTGCAACACGATCGTGCGGCGGCGGGCGAAGGGCGCCGTGAGCCTGGAGCAGATCCTGCCGGCCGAGGGCGAGGTGCGGGCGCGGCTGCGGGCCGGGCTCTACTCCGCCGTCGTGGTGTACGACGAGCGCAGCCCGCGCGCCGAGGCCCTGCGCGAGGACAGCACCGTGGCGCTCGTGGTGCGCGCGCTCCGTCGCGACACGGCGCGCGCCGACATCCGCCTCCTGGCAGGTACCGCCGGCGGGAGCGGGCGGGGGACACCGGGAATGCCGGGCGGGAGCCGGCGGCGGACGGCCGCCCGCGCCCGGGAGCGAGGTCCGGGCTCGCCGTGCCCCGGGCGCTGCGCTGCCTCCCCCCGGCGGCGGCTGTCCCGCAGAAGTTGGGAGCCGGCGGGAGCGCTGGGGGCCGCACGCACCGGGGCTGCGCCGCCCCGGAGCGGGGGTCCCGGCACCGCCGCAGCGCGGCCATCAGCCCCGAACGTGGGTGCCCGGGCGGTCTGAGCCGGCTCCGGGGCATCGACCGGCCCCGTGGCCCTGCCCGGGACCTGAGGGAAGTGAGCGTGTTGGGGGGAATCCCCCCACGCTTTGTTTGAGTCCGTCCCCGGCCCCGTGGTGCGCAGGAGGTGTTTGTGCAGGTCAAATACCTGCTGTCACGGCGATGTCCCCTTGCAGCGGGCAGAAACCCCGGGGACGCCTCTGTGCTCCTTTTGCGACTACAGCAGGGATCAGGACTCCCCCCCTCTGCCGTGTGTTAAAATGGGAAGCTGTGCACATTTGGAGCTGCTGGTCCTGAGAATTGCCTTGAGATGATTTAGAGGCGGGGGATGCTCAGCTGGGGTTCCTGGATGAGCTCTGGGGGGCTTTTTCTTTTTTGTTTACAGCCTGAGAGTCAATTTATTCCTTGGCTTACTTACAGCAGGGGTGAGGATGTGTATGCAGAGTAGCAAATCCATTAAGAGGCTTGATAGATGGAGGAACTAGCGCTTTGGTTGTAGTAGATACAGTAAAAGCAGCAGGAGCTGTTCCAGGGATGCGATACGACGTGCTGCTGCGGGAGTGCCTGCACAGCAAGGGCTTGCTCAGGAGCAGGCTCCTTCACCGTGAGCCAGCGTGGTGCTGGAGCCACGCATGTGGCAGGAAATGCTGCTCTCCTGCAAGGGTGGCCTTTGTCAGCTAAGAGCTTCTGGTGCCTCTGTGGTTCTCGTGGGAGGTTGGTAGGAATGGGAGCTCTTTTAAGGAATGGGCTCTGAGAGACTCAGTCTCAGCACTACAGTCTTCTTTTTGCGTTCCACAGAGCCACTGAAATAATCTTGTTCTGATTCCATGAGGGCTACACTAACCCAGAGCTGTGCATGCCCAAGTGCACATTTGTGGGGTGCAGGTCACAATGAAGATCCTGAAGTGTTTTGTGCAGGTCAGGCTGCTGCCAGGTTCCCTGTGAAGCAGCCGGCCTGGGGGTTGCTTGGCCATAGGCACCTGCTCTGCCTGGCTCCTGCACCGGGCAGGGCTGGTGTGAACAGCCAGGAGCTGCTGGATCAATGAATCTAATGAAATTCATTGAAGAGAAGCATTTGAATAGGTCTCTTTTTCTTTCCAAGAACCATTCTTTCCAAGATTTTTCTGCCCATCACCCTGGGTAGCTTTTCCCTCTCATGGTGTGATGACCACTGGAGTGTGATGTAGTAGATCCAGAGATTTTAAGACCAGAACCCTGGAACTTGTCTAACAAAGACTTTTGGTTTTGGATGCTCTTTCAAATCGAAGCAGTAAGACTGTAAAGGGATGTCAGGCCAGGGAAATGAAGCTTCTGCAAACTGTCCTGGCTGCGTGGGAGGGACAATGCAAATGCAGTGATAGATCTGCACGGTTCTGCTTTAAGGTACTAGAGCCCTTCCTTTTGTAGGGGGAGGAAGCCACAAAGGACACTGGGATGCTGGCAGTATCGGGCTCTAGCTGCCCAGGGATCCCTGGGCTGCTTGAGAAGCTTGCTTCCATTGTTTTGAATATCCAGCCTTGTTCAGAGCAGTCTCAGAGCTTAGGCTGGGTAAGAAGTATCCTGCTGTACGCTCTGCTAAGCCAAAATCTGCAGGCATAGGTCCTGCAGTTGGTTTGAGTCTTCAGGAACCAACCTGGGAGTCAGGGCTTGATCTAGCTGGAATCCTGTGATGATAGTAAAATAATGATTTTCATTGATTTTGAGGCTCAAAGTCAGACCCTTCAAGGATGTCAGGGTTGTTGACTTGATTTGAATGAGAGAAGGAAATCTCACCAGAAGTGTTTATTGGCAGGCCAACACTGCAGTTTCCCTGTCCTGGGAACTCAGTGGGATTTGCTCATTTCACCGGCCATGAGGAAGCCGTGACATTCCCTGTGCTGCTTATCCCCCTGGCAGCAGGTCAGATGAACAAGCTGCTCCATGTTCAGCTTGCACCTGAGTCCTTGGGAAGCAGCAGACTCCTCTCTTGGAGAGCAGTTTGGCTGTGGGGTCAGCCAGAGCCAGGGCTTTCCTGGTCTGTTGTTTTGGGAGCTCTGAGCTGGAGGGTCAAGCTGGGAATGGGAGACCTGCCTGTCTTGTGACAAAATGATGTGTCAAGGGAAGAGGAGAACTGAATAGTCTTTGGCCTTGGAGCAGCTTTTCCCATTTAAGTCTGAGTATGCTCAGAGAGCAACCTTGGCCTCATTCTGGAGTTTTGGCTGGCAGTATGCAGGGAACCGAACCCTGGACCAGAGACTTTGGGTGGCCAAGATCATTGCTCTTGGTGCTCTTGCTCCAAGGGAATGGTGGGGCCGCAGGGATTTCCCCCTTGCTGCCAAGAGCCTGACTGCTCCTCCTGGGGCAGGAGACCACTCTCCATCGCTGTAGCATCATCTAGTGGCCAAGGGCATCTCTGGCTGTGCCGTTCCGCAGTCCTGTGAACGCGGTCTGGGATAACACTTTGTGCCTCTCTTCTTGCAGGGGGCTATGAGCGCTTCTCCTCGGAGTACCCTGAATTCTGCGCAAAAACCAAGTCCCTGAGCAATGTGTCACCCCCCACCAGCGCTGAGCCCCTGGATCTGGGCTGCAGTTCCTGTGGGACCCCTTTCCATGACCAGGTATGTCTAAAAGCCCAGTGCTTAGCTAGCTGGACTGCCCTTCCAGCATTACAACCTGCTCCAACAGGAGTCTCTCTGCTCTCCCTTAGCTGGGGCTCACGAAGCCAAAGCCCTACTTCCTTTCCTCTCATGGGAAAGCATGGTGGTCCTCCTAAGCCCAGGGTGTTTGTGTGCCCCGCTGAGTGGACACGCCCAAATCCTTTTAACCCACACCTGCCTGTTTCTGAATAGGACAAAGGCAGATAGAGGAAGGGCTGAAACAGGTTTAGCACCTCAGGAAGGTAGCCTCTGCTCCCTCTTCTGAGGACCCTGGATCGGGTGCCAGGTTGCCGCACAGCTCGTTGTTTCCAAGCCATCTGGATGTGTGTCCTGCCTCCCACTGTCCCCTGGTCAACCTGTTGTTTTCTTCTGTCACAGGGTGGGCCTGTGGAGATCCTTCCCTTCCTCTACCTTGGCAGCGCCTACCACGCAGCCCGGCGGGACATGCTTGATGCACTGGGCATCACAGCCCTGCTGAACGTCTCCTCAGACTGCCCCAACCACTTTGAGGGGCACTACCAGTACAAGTGTATCCCTGTGGAGGATAACCACAAAGCTGACATCAGCTCCTGGTTCATGGAGGCAATTGAGTACATTGGTGAGTGCCCGTGCAGAGATGTTGTGTCCATTGGTGGCACCGGTGGGAGGGAGGTCAGCCACCATCTGCAGGTTGGGTGAGGGGCTGGGCTGTGGTGGCAGGGTGTGGGTCTCACATCTCACCCCTGTTGCCCTCCAGACTCAGTGAAGGAGTGCTGTGGCCGGGTCCTGGTGCACTGCCAGGCTGGCATCTCCCGCTCAGCCACCATCTGCTTGGCGTACCTGATGATGAAGAAACGTGTCAAGCTAGAGGAGGCCTTTGAGTTTGTCAAGCAGCGCCGGAGCATCATCTCCCCCAACTTCAGCTTCATGGGGCAGCTGCTGCAGTTTGAGTCGCAGGTGTTAGCCACTTCATACGCAGTGGAGGCCGTCAGCCCCTCGGGGACACTGCGGGAGCGGGGCAAGGCCACCTCCACCCCCACCTCGCAGTTTGTCTTCAGCTTCCCAGTGTCTGTCGGTGTCCATGCCACCCCCAGCAGCCTCCCCTACCTGCACAGCCCCATCACCACGTCGCCCAGCTGTTAGCTCAGGGCCGAGGCCAGCCGGGCAGGTAGTGCCAGGCGTGCAGGGGCGTGGAGCCCTGTGATGTTAAGCAATAGTGCCGGACACTGCCATTCACCCTGGACTCACCATCCTTTTCGTAGGGAAATTTTTTACCTCATCTTGGTTTGTTTGCTTTTTATTGTTATGTTTTGAAAGCACGAGGTTGTAAAAGCCACAAACCTTGACACTGTCCAGGCTCTTTGGGGGAGGAAAAAGATAGTATACTGGGTTTCCTCAAGTGCCTGGTCTTCACGTGTTTCCATCCCTATTTTATTGTCTTGTTTTTTTACACCTCCCCTTCTCCCCATGTTTCTGCCTCAGCTCATCTAGGTTGACAAAGGAGCATACCCTGTTTTATTGTGCAGCAGCCTTCCCCCTTGCAGAGAGACCTGTGTGTTTATGGCAAGTGCTGCTTACCTGAGCCAGGTACACTTTGGACAAGCAGAGCTGCAGGCAGGGCTTTGGGGTGAGCAGGAGTGGTGGCACAGGGCTGCCTGCACTCAGCCTCAGCCCTGCCAGTGGCTGGGGAGATGAGGCAGGAGCTGGCAGGCACCTGCCAAGTCACCAGCTGAGCCTATTCCAGGGGGAGAGCAATTTCTGTGGTTGGGAAGTGGTTTGGAGGGAGAGATGTAGTCTGAAATGCCTTTTCTTGCCTCTGTGGATCACTGGTTTCTAGAAAACTTAGGTCCAATCTCCTGTGGCTTTAAGATGAGAAAGAAGGGGTTGGGGCAGCAGTCTGGGCTGCTTTTGATTACTCTGCTCAGTTTCCTCTCCACCAGTCCCACTGCTGCTCTTCCAAAAGGAGCAGGATGGGACATGGGTGGGCTGTAATGGAAGAGAGAAGCTGTGGGGTGGAGGACAGGCTGGCCCAGAGGTGTCATTCATCCAGCATTTTCAAGCTTCTCCCACATCATGACCAGCCCTTTTCATGTGCTGAGTCTTGTTCACCTGTGCAACATTTCTGCAGCTTTTGGTCCAAGCCTTGAAAATGCCTCATCTTCAACCCACCTGGAGCCTTATTTCCCACCCTACCTCTGTCCTTCCCTCCAGTCCAGTCCAACACACAAGATGCCTGTGTGGCTGATGTACATATGTATGGTTTTGTTCTTTTTTTTTTTTTTTCTAGAAATTAACTTTTTATTTATTGCCTGAGGGAGGGAGAAAACATTGTTTGGAGAAAATAAAAATAAAACTGTTTTCAACAGTTTGGCTGGAGCAAATTTGTCCTAAGAGCAAGACAGAACAGCAGGTTGTGCACACATTCCATTTTCACAGAGCAACTGTTAAAAATGTATTTATTGACTTTTAAACTATTACAAGTATTGCAGATCAGACATTTAGCCAAGCACACTTATAGATCAAACTCAGTTGTTACAGAGATGTTACCTAAAGTCCACCATGTAGATAGGCTGAGAAACTGCCCATCGTCTTCAACTTTGAGAGAGAAGGTAAAAGAAGAAATAAATAAATGATATCCCAGCTCCAGGTAATTGGCAACCAAGAGAGGACAAACACAGGGCTAGTTATGAAAACAAGTTACACAAAAAAGGTCTAGAAATTCAACCCCTAGCTACATTGCCATCTGGGTTGCCAGAGAAAGCTATTGGGAATGACAAAGCACAAGCTCATGGGACCACAGCACAGGAAATCCCCATTTCAATTTCCAAAGCTGAAGCAAGTTCTGCAGATGTTAAGAAAGTGTCAAAATTATCTTGTAATGACAGAGATTCTAATAATCTACATTAGTAATTAAGGGGACCAGCACTAAAACTTGCCGCCAACAGGTTCAGCAACACCAATACATCAAAACCAGTCAGATAATGTGACTTGACAGGCATATGTGTCAGTGTAATGGAAATGCATTTGCTTCCCAAGTCCCCTACAGATTCCCAGGCTCATTCACCTTGCTTCAGAGATTTTAACACACATACAATGTTCCCCAATCCCCTGGGTTTCACATCTACTCTGTGTTTAGAGGTGGGAACACTGCTGCTCCCTCTCTGCACTCCTGCTGCTTTTGGAAAGACCAGGAAAGCATGCTCTGGACTGTGCCAAGCCACCACCTCTGATCACCAATGGATTCAAGTCTGTGGAGGTTCACAAGCCAGTTGTTATGTGAGGCAAGAACTGAATATATGCTTTCCCAGGTCTTCCCTATCCAGGCTGCAGCATAGCTTACATTGCTGCACAAATATTCAGCTTAACAAAACTGAAGCATGCATTAGATGCATGACCTCTTGGATTTCTAAGCTGGACTTCCTGTGGGAAAGCAGCATGGAAACAGAGAAATCCCACTGAAAATAAATTCACATATTTCCTGACATTCAGCTTCTGAGAATGATTTGCAATGTTCAAACTAATCTGTTTTGTGGCTGGACCCTTCTGTTTACCCATCTTGAAAAATCCTGTTCAGGGCAATTTCTGTTAACAGTCCCATATGGAAATTGCAGGCAGTGCATGAACTGTGCAGAAACTGATGTCATTGCAGGGATGCTGGAGGCTTGTTTGAGATTTGCCACTGTCTTAAGTAGCCCTCACAGGCCATGCAGTGGCACAACATGTTTGCATCCCTCAGCACCTCACACATTCACAGGGAGCAGACATCTCCTCTAACCTAAATAAACAGCAGGAGCAAGGAGGCTTCCAGAGCCAAGAAAGTGCCTTTCTCTAGGAGCTACTCCCTCCCATATACCACATACCTTTTCTGTGTCTGCTGGCCACCACAGCCAAGAGTGCAGAACATTTTGCAGGGTTTTCTCTCTGCTTCAGTGTAGAACTTTATTTTGGGGTATTCCCATAACAAACAAGCAAAGTTTAAGTTTGCAGGCAAAATAAATTCCTGCTACATAATGCAGTGGGATTCAATTGCATCACATGCAAACACTCGAAACAGAGTTTAGAAAACCAATAGTGACTGCAACATGGTGGAACTAGTATAAGAGGTTTGTAACAGTCTCTGTGGAGCTGGGGTCAAACACAACTGATAGATAAAAATAAAAATGAAAAAATAAAATATACCTTATTAAGGTACTGACTGTACTGTCTGTTTTTAATCCTAACAAAAATTTTGTTGACAGCAATCGGAATGCAGTGTTACTCTGCACCAAGTATCTAAGTCATCAGTCTCATGGAAACAGTTTCAGCAATGGAGAGCAGAACCCTCCCTCCTTTGTTAGGTGGTGACTTTTCTTTCTGTTTTTTCTATTAAGGTCCTGTTGCAAAACTACACAGAAGCTTCAAAATGCTGCCTCAAAGGGACACTGACAAAAATCAACAGGCCTGAGAGACACATTGTCCCTTGTGCCAGCAGACACCAAGTTCTGTCCCTGGTCTCCCAAGCCTATGAGGGCCTAGCCCAGTGTTCTTACATCCTCAGCTCCTACTGTGCCTCCCACTGGTGATCCAATGCTGCTAAATGAGTATCCCCGTATCAGGGGACTGCTCTTCTCAGGAGGACAAAAACTTCATTTCTCAGGAGGCAGCAACTGCTGGTTATGGGGTCACAGCATGTTTAAGGTCCCACTGTAGTTAACTCTCTCAGCTAAAGCAGCAGCGTCTGTACCGTTACCAGCCTCCAAGTGCACCACAACCACAACCGGGTTTTAATGGGTAACTTTGATGTTGATGGGCAGATCCTCACTTTGTTTTGAACAGTAAGAGCAGCTATGACAACATATGCTACTCCTGCACAGGTGTCTACAACACACAGATGCATCATCAGGCCTGGGTATTCCTCTGTGTCTGGCCACAAACGGATATAAGATCACGTCATTACGAGACAAAAAGCACTGCAAAATTATTTCCTCACACAGCACCTTTACTCTGCACAGAAAATCAGAAAGATTAACACTGGCAGTTCAAAGATACTGGAAAGTAGAATCACAGAATATGCTGAGCTGGAACGGACCCATCAGGGTCACTGAGTCCAACTCCTGGCTCTGCACAAGACATCCCCAGGAGTCACACCATGTGCCTGAGAGTGTCCAAAACCTTCTTGAACTCTTATCAGGCTTGGTGCTATGACCACTTCCCTGGGGCCCCTCTGGGTGAAAATTCTTTCTCCTAGTATCCAACCTAAATCTCCCCTGACTCAGCTTCATGTTGTTTCCTCCAGTCTTCTTACTGGTCATGGGGGTGAATATATTGGTACCTGCCCCTCCACTTCCTTTCGTGAGGATGTTGAAAACCTCAATGAGGTCTCCCCTCAATCTCCTCCAGGCTATTTTTATCCTCCAGAAGTTTCAGGCTGCAAAAGGAATCCAGACTAGCCATGAGTTGAACCAGCACATAGGAAACAACAAGCAAGAACAGCATCTGGTGTGGGCTCGGTGGGGTTTTCCTTTTTAGATTTGTTCTTGTTTTTGAAAGATGTAGAGCTTCTAACTTTCACGCCCACATTAACCATTTTGCTCACCTAAGCAGCACAGCTGTTTCACCATTTAAAACTATGTCTAACTGGGGATGGAGAGCAGCACTCACTCTGGTCGCTATCTGAAACCCTAGAGCAGATAGGCACATCCCCTCACTCCATTATTAACTAAATGAAAAACAAACCCCAAACTTGAATGGTGAATACAAAGCTTCAAAGCCTAGTGGTGATCCTTGCAATCCTCTAACACTATGAAACAAGCAGCCAAAATACAAGCACCCAATTTATCAATGAAACCTGTTTAAAAGGACAACTAGGCTAGAGCTTGGCTGGGACTTCAAAGCTACATATTTAATCAGGTCACATAATGAAGCAAGAACCATATATCCACTATCAGCTCAAGAAAAGTAAAACTCAGAGTTCAAGTTCTGTTGAAGTATTGCTATTTCTAAGGTTTCCTTTAGAGATATTACAAACAGATTATGTTCAGGTAGCCATATTGCATCAAATGACTGATTTTACAGTGGATGATATTTCTTGTGAGAATGACTTGCTTCAACATTAATGCCTTAACAACAAAAATAAAAATGTTGTCTTAATGCTGAAAGTGAAAACTCTTCAGGATTAAGTCTGTTTAATACAAATACATTAGCAAAATCCCACTTGTGGGGAGCACATATATTTTTATGAACTAAGAGCACACTGTTCTGTTGCTTTCTTGCTTTAAGAGAGATAAAACCTGAATGCATGAACTGGATCATCAGATACTAAATAGTGCTGGTTGATAGGGTAATGTACCACATTGTGTCCAAAGGAACATTTTTTTCCTCCAGTTTTTACATGGTCAACACTGAAGCACATCTCCTGGTATTAGTTGTTAGGAAAAAAATTAACAGGTCTTGATCTTCAACCTTCTCTGAAACTGTAAAACATCACAAAAAAGAAACCATATCCACCATGTTAATTCATGTTAAATCCATATTCACCATGAGGGGGACTTTTGAAACTGTTTGATGCTGTGCTATGCAATGCTTAAAAATAACTTTCTCCTACCCAGCAAAATAAACCTGGGAATTTGGGAAGAAGGGTATTAAGTGAATAAATCCTAACTTTGTTCTCTGATATACCTGCAAACAAATCCGCTTGCCAACTGATACTTTAAAATTTTGTTCTCATCAAAATGTAAAATTGATATTTAAAAAAAATTATTACTTTTGTAAATCCCTTAAGCTCTTCACCTATGATGTCACACACAAAGATGTGACAGGAACCGCCCTAATACACTCTCCCTTACCAGCCTGAAACCCATTTCCTGGGTCTCACAGAGGGACATGAACCAGATATGCCTTTCTGTATGAAATCTTCTGACTTTTCACCTGCTTCTCCCAGCAAAACCATACCCTGTTGTAACTAGAGAACATTTCACAAGCTGCAAGTACTTAACAGAAGCCTTAGAAAATGTCCTTTTAGAGATGCCAGCAGAAGGCATGGACCGGTTTCATGAAGTTCTTCTAAGCACAAGAGCTGGTTTTACCCTTGCAAACAATTCCCAGGGCTTCCCCCAGAAAACTCACACAGACAAGGCAGCAAACTGACATCATTTGTTTCCACTCTAAAGTTACACTCACTCATGTTATCGTTTGCTCAGAGGTGTGCAAAAAAACCCCTATATTGGATAACTTTACCTAGCCCCTCCTCAGATGAAATTTATATTGCATTGTAAATGATTTTAGTCGACTTGACTTTGTGCAAAATATCCTCAAAAAAGTTCTGGCTCAACTTCAAGATACAAAAGGAGAATAAATAGGATCTCTTGAAAACAGGAAATGAATGGTGTATGCTGAAAAGAAAATGATGGGCTTAATGTAATTTATCTGCAAATAAAATAACTAGAAAAGTAGTGTCTGAAATTTTAAGATGTGAGATGGCAGCAATAAAGATTTCCATTTGCACAATAATGTTCCCAAGGTCTAGATCAAAACAATATTATTTTACACATGGTATCTGCAGAGACTAGGAGCCTGA